GTGACTTCATCTTATTTACAGGGATCAAAAGTTGGCAAATAACCATGATGTGTGCAGCAGGAGACTGTTACATAATCATCCTTCGGAGGAGACAATGAGGTCACATGTTTGCCTGTCTAATCGTTGATCGGGGACATGTTTGATTGCAGAAAATGTGCTCACTGGCCCACAACTTAATTACTGAGCATCTGAGTCAACAAAGCTTTCAGATGTAGGTCTTGGCTAATGATGCATCCGTTAGAGATCACTGCCTCCCTTCAGCCGCTAAGCGAAAGGTCTGGGGAGTGCAGGGGCCAGTGGCGATGCTGTTCTCCTTGACCTCTCCCTGAAAACCATGCCAATCCCTACAGTTTCTTCTCCAGCCTGCCATAGGCAGTATTGTTTATATCCAGGGCCAAATGGAGCGAATGACTGCAGGGACGTTGAGCATAATGCCTGTGCAACGCAAGTGTGTCCTCCCAGAAAGGGAAGGCCACAGCCATTTTGGTACATCTGCAGCCAGAGTCCAGGGATCCAGAAGGGAAGGTTGCAGAGCCACAGAGAGGGAGCATTCCTTTCCCAAACTGGTAAAGAAATGTTAAGCAAAATCTGGGGAAATCAGCAAGCAATAACAAAATAGGAGCAAAATGTTTAATCTGTGGGTGGGGGTCTCAGCCGTTGACCAGTGTCTACAGTTGAAACCAGTGGGTCTCATTAAGGGCCGGTGCCCCCCTCCGCCTGCCCCATCCCTCCTGATTCCATCTCCCCCTCCTCTCCTCCACCAGCCTTATCGGAGCCATGATACCTGGCAATCACGTCCAGACTTGGAGGTTTCAGATAGTGGGTTTGTGTGTGTGTGCACTTGCTTGGTTAAGATTTAAAGATTCTTGGTCTCTGTGCCATCACTAATCACTAGAGACAGGTAGTAACAGCTATTTCCTACATTGTCTCCTGCAAATTTAAATAAATGCAACATGCCATTTTAAAGAAATTATAACAAAGGTAGACTCACCCGAATGATTCTAGATTAAATGTTAAGCAAAAGCCTCATTTCCCACACTGAGCAGAAATGTCTGTGCCCCGATGGGGGTTAAGCTGTCTCCTTTGGCTTCCTGAAATGTTTGTCCCCTCATACTGAACTCAGGAAAACTCAGCTGGTGTAGAGGGTGAGGGTAGCCAGAACCCAAGAAGCTTTGTGTGTGGCCGGAGTGGGAAGACACAATCAATATAAAACCAAATAAAGCGCCGGAGTGGGGGGAATAAGAATAAATTAAAAACCAAAATTAACAGGCAACTATACAAATCAGAGACATTCTGAGAGAGAAGAAGAGGGATCCAAACCAGGGCGGGAAGAGCACAAGGGACTGTGGCGAGGTGCAGGGTGTGTGGGTGCTGGGAATTCTGTGGGGATGACACCTGGGAGGAGAGAGCAAGCACTGACTGTGCAGAAATGAACGACGTAGAATGTATATAACTAAATAAATTTAAATTTAAGAAAAGCAGAACAAAGCTATAATAAGCATGAAACCTTCCCTGGTCTTTGCCTAAAGCTTACCATTAGCAGTAAAGAAATCTGCTTATGTGAGCTGGAGGGTCCAAGGCTGGGGTGTTCCAGAAGGCTTCTGAACAGAAATTCCTCCAGGACCCTGACTTGTCTAGTGCACCACAGACACATGACCCAAATTAAGGAGCTGTAATAGTTCCCAAAGAATCCCAGGGCCCAGGTCGTGTTTAAAGACCATCAGCCCCACTCACAAGGGTCACACCCTGACTGCACCCCTCACCCATTACTCTGCCCAACTCACCAGAACATTTGCAAGTGAAAGATTGCAGACCCCACTTTTGCTTTGCAAACTCATCTGCAGACATCCAAAGCTGGGGGGG